AATGACCCAAAGGCGGGCCAACATTCGCCAAAAACGAGGCGCGATCTTGGAAGAGGCTGTCCGACAGCATCTGCGCTTCCAAATCCAACTTCTTGATGGGATATCCTTGGGTCGACCGGTCGACCGGTTGACCGGGGCGTCTCGACGTCTGGACCCAGCGAAGACTGAACCGGACTAAGACTGGGACTCCAGGGACTTATGAGTGAGGAAGAAGGGAGGACTGAAGTCTAATAGCTTCTTGTTACTACTAGTAAGGCACTTGTTACTACTAGCGTGGCACTTGTTCCTAGTAGCTTCTTGTTACTACTAGTAAGGCACTTGTTACTACTAGCGTGGCACTTGTTACTACTAGTAACAAGAAGCTATGCATCTTCGCAGATCATATCAGCGTGAACAACCCTGCACAGGCGACGGATGTGGTACGTTCTGAGTATATGAGCGCATGACTGAGACACCCGCACAAACTCCTAAGAATTGGTCACGTGCCGCCCAAACTCCACGAGAACTGGGAGAGGCCTTCCCGAGGTGGAAAAGGCGGCCAGACCCCTCGGGATCAAAACGCTCTTTGTGAATCCATGGCACGATTCAAACCGGGCTGGTTGGAGTAGTTCCCAGCTGCAGTCCCTGCGGAAGCTGCTCGATCTGCTGCATCCATGAAGATATGGCATTCCTCAATGCAAACGATAAAATACTGGACCAAAAAATAAACAAACTGTGTATTTGTGTGAGTGACAATCAACACTTACGTAGTTGTGTCATGAAAGATCACTTTCTAAGTCCAGCACGCTATCATGTTTGGTTAGTGTACTTACTATTGTCTTTCTTCGTATGTGCATATATTCTTATAAAAATACATAAATTATCATAAATTACATATTGAGATCTCTGTGCGACTTCCAAGGCTACCTACTACCATTACAATTATATAATTTGGACATGTAGCTCATAGGACAGCAAGACTGCAAAGTGGGCTGGCAGCTACCTTTGAACTGTTTTTGATCGTCGGGTGTCCTCTCGGGAGAAAAAGCCGGGCACCACCCTGGCAGGAAACTGTACGCGCAAAAGCGAGCGCTGTTCATCATCCATGTTGCAAGCCGAGGCGAACCGAAAAAAATCACTCTCCCTCTGAAAACGCGTGGCCATCTACGTGTGGTTAAAATAAAGTGTGCCAAAACATGTTTAAAAATGCCAACAACAAGCACATCAACAAACTGTTCTGCCAAGTTGCAGAACGCCTCCGCCGCTGCCACAAAAAGCATCGGACAAGTTGATAAGCAGCAGTTTGTTGGTTTGTTTTTCACACGAAACAAGCATTTAAGTCGGGGGAACATTGAGTCTGCAAGTGAGCCCCTGCTTCTACGAAAAAGAATCATAACGAGACTGCCACAGATTGGATACAGCCTGGATGCTGTCAAGTCGCTGTTCCAAAGAAAAAGCTTATGATCTCTTGCCAGCCGCACTTCAATGGGAAAGGACAGCGACGACTCCTGCCATCCAATACTGGTCAGTCTCAACAATCCACCGTCTGCCGGGGATTGGAAGAAGAATGAAGAAGAGACAACTACGTGGATCAGCAAGACACTGTAAGACCTAACTCTGGGAATGAGTCAATGTATCCGGTCGCATGCTCCGGCCTCGCCAGCCGGCATGAAGATTGCATCCGACCTGCAGCATCTGTCTAGCTCCAGACAAACAAACAAGAAGACACGTGCTCGTGAATGTATTGTCCGAAATGTCCCCTGGAACTTCCACACTGGACTATGATTAAGTGCACCTGGCCAGGTCTTGTGATAAATCAATCGGATGAATCCAGCTCTGCCAGCTGATTGTAAGCTGCCCATCAAGTTGCACATGACATGTCGCATTGTTTCAGGCCTCACAACAAATCCCCATGTGAATAGGATGCGTACAATATGTACAATGGTCATAGGTCGTGCTGACCTGTCTGATCCTTTCAACCCTGAGTCAGGTTGATGCATTTACATCGCTACCCGCTACCCATCCCTACGCCCCGCTGCGCTAGCAACACGTTCGACTTGCTGGGCGAGTGGGCGAAGCAATAAACTTTCGGCTGCTAGAGTGAAGGGTTTTAAGGCGGGCTGGCCGCTTGCTTTTGAAGAGGTCAGCGGGGCTGAAACGATGGTTCTGCTATCCGAATCCAAGACAGAAGTTACACTAGACAGTGTCCAAGTTCCACAAATCCCAACACCTCTGACTCAATCGATTCCCAACTGCACTGCCTCTGGTACGTGCTTCAAGTGGTTTAAAGCCTGTTCATCCCACTTCCCATGTGAGGCCCAACTGAGCCACGTCTCAGCGAAGCAGGAGCACAGCGTGGTGACGCAGCTCTCTCCGATCCTGAGGACATCCACTGAGGACACCCGAACCGAACCGGGAGGATCTCCCAGCACCCGACCTGCTTCGAAGGCGACGGACCTGACGGACCCTGCTTCGGACCCGGTTCGGACCCTGTTCGGGTATTCGGAGCCGAAACAAATGATGTAATTCTAATTTAATTAGGCCAGGAGCCCCTAGAAGCGAACATTGCTACTACTAGCAAGGCACTTGTTACTAGAAGCGATGCACTTGTTCCTAGTAGCTTGGCAAAGGAAAGGAATCAGAGGAGATGAGATGAGGCACTTTCAGAGACATTTGGGGAGAGGCTGAATCAAGGGCCAGTGTCGGAATCTGATGATTCTTTGGGGTCAAACTAATCAGTTCTATCCAGTCCAGTTCTTGTTTCTCTAAATGGTGAGACACCGGGATCGAAGAGGATGAAACCAGGGTCGCTTCCGAAGGATACGTCGCTGATCAGCAAGGCCAGTACTCGGCTAAACGCGGCTCCAATGCATTTCAAGACTCCTCCTTGCCTGGGAATCTGCTGTGGAGAAGTGCAAGTGGCGGTTGTCAACGAGATAAAAAGCGATGTTGCCTTGGGGTGCACCCAGCCTGAAGCTCCTCCGGTTTATGAGAACGGGGCACCTTCTTCTGAACCGATTCTGGAAGTGCTCTGGCCACATAGGTTGAGTGAGTCAAACATTGCACTGGTGCATCATGTCTACCAGGCATTGCAGTATACCTCTTCCAGACACAGGTAAGACAATTAGTGAAGAAACTACTGAACCGCTGAACCGCTTCAAGCGAGAAGAAGAATCACGACCAGTTTGGTTTTCCACGACACGCGACGTCCAATGAACGTCTGCTGAATGTCCAATGTCCAACGACATGCGGCCGTGGAAAACGACCATCATGGCATAGCGGCCCGGCAACGACTCCAGAGGATCAATATCAGCAGTCTGAGCTAGAAACGTACTGTATGCCTTTTCTGCAGGTCGCGCTCTTCATTTTGGTAAGACACTTCTGCGTTCGAGTAGCTTCCATTGATCTTAACGCCTTCGCCCTGATGTTGAAGCCTTGGAAGGTTGGAGTGGACACAAAACTTGACCCAAGATATGTGAGGCTGCATCGAAAAGATCGAACAAATTGCATCAAATTGCCAACAACTGCTTCAACAATCGCAAGCTGTGCAGAGTTCTTTCCAATTCTCTCACTTAAAGAAGAAAAAGCATGAAGAACAGTGGTGTTGCTTCCAGGTTTAGGCTCCCTTCAAATCCTTTCCACCAGCATCTGGCCGAAAGGCGGGCAGGCCAAAATGCTCTGAAGGGCTCCAGGCTGAACCTGTCGGTGAACCGGTGGGGAAGCGGCAGAAAAGGCACACCATGCGGAGGGTCAACGAGGCAAGTGGGAAGCAACTGAGACTTACATGATGGGGTCTACGCTTTGTAGCACAGAACAGCATAAGAATGGCATAGTACAGATATGGACCGCGAAATGCTGCACACTTACAGGTCCATATTTATAAATAGAATTTGGGTCTATCCTCTTACCAGTAACAGTGGATGATGATGGTTAGTAAAGGCATTGTTCTAAAATATTGATAATTTCTTAATTACTGACTGTTACAAGCAGGGACAAACCCAGTAGAATGCTATAAATATATTGTAACAACAAAAGCAGCAAATCACATCCTTTCCGCTTGAGTACTTTGAAGCCTCAACATGAAAAGTATAGTGCATTTGCATCGGGCCCCTTTCTGCATGCAAGCCGCCACTATGGCTTCAACCGTGGTAGGCACTCCATATGGCGGTCTCAGGAGGCACCAAACCTTGGGATATCTTTCAAGAAGTCCCGAGCGAAAGCTCAAAGCTTGCAACTGATAGCCCTCATATCTTGCAGCCACCAAAGTAGCTGATCACAAATTTTTAAAGAAGCATGGCCAAACCAAACACTGTGCTTTGGCACGAGCCTTGCGAAACAAAAAACCTGACCAAGCTGTACCGCAAAGCCTGTTCAAATCTTGGAGGGGACAAATACGATGTCACACGACGATGTCCCTGCTGATCTGTTGAGGAACTCAGGAAGTCCTGCCGACATGCCTTTCCAGGCAGCACACACGAAAGTATGCAATCAAGTAGCTGTGGCGCCAGGCTGCAAATCTGGACACACTGTCATTGCTGCGAAACCATGTCTTTAAGGTGGTCAAGCTCAACCCCTCAGCACCGAACCTTGCGTTTGTGTGGGAGCTGTTCTTAGAAGCGAGCAAAACAATTGACCTGGAAAATAATGTCAAATTTTCAGTAGAAAGGTTGTCTGCAGCCAGAGTTTGTACCATGTTCGGTCATGTAGTTTCTCCAAAGCCTTCGGGTACTGGGCCACAACCCAATTCAAAAGTGCATGGACATCTCAAGCTTGAGGGGGAGACCCTGATTCAAAGCTACAGCAAACCGTTGTCCTGCCTTTTCAAATCTTCTCTGAGTTCATGTCAGCAATGGCAAAAGGTTCTAAATACCAGCGGATGCAAGTTTCTCTTGACACACCATGTGATTGATTTCAATCTCAGTACAATCTTCTCCAGTCCGTTACAAATACACTGTATACACATGCTGTGACATGTGTCCATTTCTTCGTGGCCACACGTCTCACATCCGGGAAAGCCGCACCCGGAGATCTGCGAGCCACGGCTGCCGTGGGCATGCGATCCGCTCCAGGACCTACGAGCGGATCGAAGCGACGAAGCGAAGGAAGAGAGGAAGAGTGAGATGATAGGCTTTGCTCCGTTCGTAGCGATGCCAGGAGCCCCTAGTAGCTTTGCCCCTACTGGCTAATGGGCTAGCAAATAACTAGCTAGTAGGGCAGCTGTTTGGGCTTTTGTAGTCCGGACAGCAGTTTCAGAGAATCTGTCTTGCGCAAGTCGCCGCAAGTGGTGCTTTTAGTAAAGCCTTTAGGATGCACACCACAGATCTGAGCCTTCTGTTTGTATCTTCTTTGATACACTTCTCGACCTCTCTCCTTGGAGGAAAATACATGAACCTGTCGACTGTCGGCTGGCCTGCTTCTGCCAATTCTCCTGCGCTGTCACTGTCACATCCCCTTTATGCTATTTTATGCTGGCCACTGTTGAGTGCCTCACCAACTAGATCTGTCTTGGTGGTCCGGAACAATCAATATTGTCCACAATGCGGGAAGCGCGACTGATCACCATCCTGTTGTTTCAGTGCATCTGTATCACCCCATGGAGTCAACTGCCCCTCCAGAAGTGAAATGCAATACATGTTATATGTTCACCAACCTTTTCCCTTGTGGTGGGGTCAAGCTACTCTTTCTGATGAAAAAGAAAAGTCTCACGTGGTCTCACTGTGCAAACCGTTGCTAGAGAGAGATTGGAGTTCCCAACTCACCGGTTTCCAAAGCAACAGGAGTCCACACTGAAGTATCTCCTCCTGATTGATCGCTTGTGTGTGTGCAGCACTATGCCTGCCACAAGTGGAGGAGCATGCTTTGGCAATCAACTAGTCTCTTGTTGCATCAATTATCAATAGAGTTTGTTGTGAAAATTCATGACAGTTCCTTATCATTTGAGGTTTCAGGACATCATGACATCCCCCACTGGAAAGAGCAAGCCCCTCAGGTTTCACCCTCCCAAGCTTTCGCCCCGCCTGAGGAGCGCAGCGTTCCGGAACAACATGACAAACAGCGGCAGCGGCGGGCCCTCATCGGCCAGCGCCTCGGCGCCGGGTGCCTTGGCCCTGAAGACTGTGGGTGGGCGTGGTATGTGACAGTTGTTTCACATTGATAAAATCGAGCAGGCACATCAAAGACGGCACCAAAAGGTGTTTTGTTGCTTCTTTTCCAAGGTCATATGGGGGGTCAGAACTTTGCAGAATACCTTTTTGTAATTATATACATACCAAAAACATTTTTAGCAGGGCCCTGAACCTCCCAAGTAACTCTGGATTTAAACACAAGCACATATGATATGTATTAATAACACTATTAATAACTATATGTTTTGTCTTTTTATACCGGTGTGTCTCTTTCTGTCCCAAATGGTGATTATTCTTTTTCATTGTTGATCTTGCCCTGTGTTTCGCTTCCTGAGCCAAACACAAACAACATAAAAAAAAAGGCTCCCACAAAATCTTCCCAAGCCCGGGCGTCATCGCTCGGCCGCCCCACCTGTGGCGCCAACTGCGCCGACGTCGCGAGCTCCGCGGCGGCCGCCCGCAGAAGGGTCAAGGAGCCTGGAACGGTCTCAGGAGGTTTTCCCTGCGCAGGTCAGAGATGAATCGGAGCCATCACGAGGTGTTCTTCCATTCTGTCACACAGGTTAAGCATCCATCGAAGAGCCAGGGAACAATGAATCTTTTGGCTGCTTATACAGATAATTACATCTAAATTCTGATTCGCGATATTTGCTCAAAATTACCATGGTAATCGTGTGATATCGTGTGCAAGTCGTGTCCACCATTGGCCTTCCAGTGGATCGACCTCCTGCCAGTGCAATGACACAGGCCGTTGGTATGAATACAAGCGACGGCAAGGATTAAGCCTGCAGTGCTTGTCGAACCTGTACCAACTTCTACTTATTGTACTAGCAGCATCTAACAGCATCTAGCAATGATCAAGCGCTTGTTGCGTCGACTCTATACATCTCTGCCATCGCTGTTCAAACCTCAACACCCGAGGGATGATCCCGGCCCAGGAGGTCTGGTCTGGGGCGGTATCCCGACATCACTGGTTTTCAAGGTCCACGTGAATCTGCAAGAGGGTGGATACATGCATGCGCACATATCCTATGCAAATCCGTTTTGGATGCCTTTGCTTGATCATCCCAAGACGTAGAGTCAAAACCATGTGAAACGTGCATCCCCACGGCGATCCGCTCCTTCCCCAAACCGGACAATTCGCACAGCTTCGGCACATCGATGGCATGCTCTCTCCGTACCACTCTAGCTGTAGCAGCCTCGAAAACATGTGACTCAAGGAACGTTCAAGGCAAAAAAGATTCCTGATTGTCGGCTTTGCCTTGCTTGACACAAGTGGGAAAAACAGCACCCTGGACCCTGTGTTTGTCTGCGGTGCAAGGATGTCTGTCGTATTCTACCGTGCTACCGGTGGAACTGACATCCCCACCTCGTCCCAAGAGGATGGCGACTCGAGAAACTCCTGGAAGGCGCTAGGGAGATATATATTAATATGACTGTAATATAGGCTGCCCTGTTTCCGCACCTTCTTCGAAAACCAACACAGGGCAACACTACGACCAGGATCCGGGTAGGACTGCGGCTCCTCGTTGGGGACGTAGAGGACTAAAGCGTTGGCCACTGAACGACACCTCGTGGTGAAACGCTTTTGGATGCGATCTGTACATCTGTTCCTTAAATCAGGAGCAGCATACGCTAGGCAATTACTACGTAAACCATTGCCTGCGGTCCCATGCCGCAGAGAGGAGATGCAGTATATACTACTGATACTTTTCTTGCTCGAGAACTGAGTACAGGGGAAACAAACATCATGAAGCAACACCATGAAAACGCAGTAGTGAAAAGATCTGAGCCATTGCAAAAACACGCGAGACCCTCATGACGAAAAAAAAGAGCTGCAACCTTCCTTTGTAATTATACACAATCCCATTGTTTTCTCTGTTAGCCAGCCAAAATGATCCAAAGTAAAGGCTGCTCCATCTGACTGCAGCTCACCGGCAGCCGAGCAACATGGGACATCCGAACTCTCCCCGGTCCACATCGAACAAGGAGACCCGTCGGAGGCGCTGTGCGGCCTTGGCATCGAAACGTGATTGGCGGCTTCAGACGAAGTTGCTCCGATCGTAGCGATGCCCTTTGCTCCTAGTAGCGATGCCAGGAGCCCCTAGTCGCGTCCTTGCTCATGGATTTCAATGGATCTGAAAAGAGTACGAAAAACGACACATCCGACGACTGGTGTTTCATATCTGCTGCTGATTTCTTATGAGCCATGGTCTCTGTTTTTGTTGGTTTGTTTTTTTGTATGGGTTGTCCCAAGTGCTACAAATGCACGCAGATGTGAACACCGGGAGCCGGTAAAAAGGTAGGACAAGTCGACAAAAAGCGGAATACCACCTGCCACCAACGTGCGGTAAATAAATAGCAGAAGGAAATTTAACAATCAACATGTAAATACTGCAAACTGCCAACGCAGGATGCAAATAGTAGAGGAAGTTCACCATAGCATGTCCAAAGCGCTGCAAATAACAACAAAAGTTGAATCCCAACATTTTCAAGATAGTAGCAAAACATTTGAATTGGCTCTATCCGTTCAATCTCCACCTGTTTAAAGTTGCACTTGGAGCACTGTGCATGCTTGGACCGTCACTGGGTGCAGGGAGCACTCGAATCGTGAAAGCGATGATGTGTGCATCCCTTTTTCCAAGTACTTGTTCATGTTTGTTCTGCCTTCTGGTGTCCCTGTTCTGCTACACGAAATGGGCAACTGGGGGAGGAGGGCATCTACGTTCCTTCCCTTTCTTCCCTTGCTTCTGCTTTGTTTTGGTTACAGTATAGCTCTGATGCTGTGAAAGCGCATGAGGGCGTGCGGTGGAGTTGTCACCAAAAGGTCGAAAGTCAAGCCGAAAGTCCAATGCCACAAAAAGCCTAGCGAACCGTTGGAAGCAACCCAAAGCCAGCAGACCGAAGCCAGGAGCCACCAAACACAAAAAAGAAACAAACATGAAACCAAAAACCGTCAAAAAGGCCATTCACTACCCTTTCTAATTACTCTTCGATTGTGCCCCAGTCAGACAAGAAAAACACACCGTGGCCGCCTGGTTGTGGGCATCGACGACATGCTGTTGGCCGCAGGTGATGTGAATCACATGCCGGCAGGAGGTGTAGCGGCGAAAGCCTACGTATCGTGGATCTGACCAAGTACCCCTCTGGCCATTGCAGGTATGAAGTCACAGCCAACACCAAACTTCACTTCAAACCTTTGAAGGGTTTCTACTGGGTTGGGGACTACTTTATATAAGTACTCACACAGTGAGAAACATGAATTGCTGTCCATTTTGCTCAGGAAATATGCTTTTCTCTGTGAGGATGCACTTTGTTAGGTGCACCTTTGGCGCACAAAACCCAAGAGCAAGAAAGACTGCCCCAATGAATTCCTGTAGGAGATATCAACAATCTCAGTAAATGTCGTGCGGAGCCATGCAGAATCTCGCTGCACTGGGCTGACAGAATGTTACAAGATAAACAAAAAAAGAAAGTACAGTATTCGAGAAGTGATTCATTTTGCGATGGCCATCAACTGCCCGCGCAAATCAGATTTTGACATCTTTGGACAACTTCACTCCTCACAAGTTGTTGAACACATGTGCATCCTCTAAAATCAACACTTCCGCCAAGGTTCGAGCCTTCTCAATCCTCATCCTCCTCCAGCAACACAGGATTGACTCGACGCATGAGTGGCTCCGGCGAATGCAAGGGATTGAACTTCGCCTCAGCTGCATCAAGGTCATCCGTTTTGGTGGTTTCGCGAGTCACCTGGAGAAGGCTCGTCGCCTTATACTTGGAGCCCAATTCTTGCGCACGCTGCATCTCCAGCAGGATGTCATTGTCGATCGAACTAGGTCGTACGCTTTCAACTAGCCACAAGCAAGCCAGCATCACGATGTATCGCATGGATCCCGCCTGTACGATAGTACGCCCCGAAAAGCGTGAATTGCAGTCTCAAATAGAACTTCGCTAAGGTTGTGGGCTTGTGCCACGTGGCTTGAGCCACAGGGTACAGCAAACTGCATCTGTTGCTCTTGCTACAGATCTGACTTCTCTTGTAGTCTCGTAGTATCTTTAACAAATCTTGCTCAGGTTCCCGAATACGCATGATCAATGTATGCACAAAAGTTCTAAAGCTATCTTTGATTATCTTTGGATCTCCAGGACACACCTAAACGACCTGCGGCTGGCCTGGCTGACCACCTAGATGACTGGATCTCCCTTGAAAGTCGCCCACCTCACGCAGCATCAAGGGCTTTGCATCCATCAACGAACCCAATGTCTGCCAAGACTCTTCCACAGATTCTACAGCGCGCAAGCCTTGTGTTACATCTTGCGGGTGCCGGTTGCTTCATCCAAGCTTTGACACACAAACTTACCTAGATCACCACTTGCCGTTGACACGGCCATCCTGAAAGGGTGATCAGGAGTATGTTGCCTGGATCGCAGCGATCGCAATTTGTCAGAGTTGGCCAACTATACATTGCGAGGTCCTTGAAGCATCGACCAGTCTCATGGAAGACAAGCAGCTTAAGCAGCTTGCCAGTCTCTTTGAGGCGTGATCCTTTAAGCTTGATACTTCCAACAATCCACTTTGTCAAGCCCGCGAAGCCTTGCAAAAGGTCCAAACCAACCGATTTCTGTCTCCTTTTTCGGAGACCAAAAACCTTCCTTGCCCCGTCCTCCGATGTCTTTGGGCTCCCACTGCAGCCAACATGGCTAAAGGATTGCTCGCACTCGCCGCCTCTTTGCAATTAGGGTAGTCTTTCCAATGTCCACTGGTTGACCACGCTCCAAACACTGTTGGATGTTCAGGATGTGAAAAAGAAACACAAGTTTGCTCATCTCTTTCAGAGTGCAAACTCCCCCTGATGGGGTGAGAGAGGATATGTCCTACAGCTCGTTGAGAATTACTATAGCTAGAACTTCCGCCTTCTAGCTGCGGCTTAAGACACAAGACCACCAACTTCTGATCATGGTCCTACTCTTGTTCTTTGGACCACCATCCTAGTTACAACCACCTGCTCATTCAGGTTTGGCCTCGCGACAAGTGGCACACCTGAAGATGTCCACGAAACACTACACTATAGTCAGCACTTGCCGTTTTATATGGTTCGATGAAAAAACAAGATGGGTGCCACTTTACGCAATAACAATGTTCCATGTCTCAGCCTACATGCCCTTCCTGGAAAGAAGCAACAGTGTTTTTGTGGAGTGGAATGGGCAGCCGTAGATAACATTCCGTTGGAATTACAAAACTACACAGCACCAGCTGCCAGCATCATCAAGCTGTTCATCAGGTGTTCCTCAACCATCCACAGTAGCTTCCCAATGCCATAATGCAATCTTGACTGAGTCTCAAGCTGCAAAGCTTCTGCATCCTGAAAGGTCACCGCTTCATTGAGAACAGTCTTTGGGGAGTTCTTCTATGTATGAGCATGTGCGCATGTCTACACCCTTTCTATGCCTAACTATAAAACTATGCATGGTGTATGTGGATAATTTAGACAGTACAAATTTGGATGCGGCACAAGTCCCGACAAAATGCATGGAGATGATATGTTTCACCCAAAAACAAAGACTGAGAAGGCAACAATATGTTGCCACGTTTTAAACCCTTGTCACAATCACGCGATCTCAATTCCAAACACGGTATAGTTAAGAATATATAGTTCACATCAACAAGAAACCATGAATAGCACATTGATCGCGCCAATTGTTGTCCAATGTCTTCTATCAACGGGCCAGTGGGTCAGCCAGTCTGCCTCGCAGGATCCATCGTCGTAGGATTCGCCTGACAGCACCCTCCGATGCAGAAATAAGCACATCCAGGTAAATCCAAAGAACAATATTTGATTATATAGTATAAGTATAATATAAGTAAACCCATGGTATGTCAAAGCCTTTGGCCAGCTCATGCCAGCCCTCTCTGACTCAACGGCTGCTCCCAAATCATTGTTGCCCGAGTCTCACCAAAACAGTGCAAAACCTGCGAACATATGTTTTGATCACCACTTCGTCGATCAACATCCCAAGAAATCACTTTCTCTCCGACCTTTCTTCAAGTCCCATCCCTTCTTTACTACATGGCCTTCCAGGGACAGGCTCTCAACAGCTTCTTTCTGCTTCTTTTGCATTCGTTGCATCATCGCCTCCAACCAAAGAAGAACTCCACAAAATGCGCTGGCTTGCCACGGTCACAAAAGTCCAGACATATTTTAAAGGCTCATTCATCAGCATGCCTAGCAAACCTAGCACCTATCACCGCTGATGTGTGTCGCAAGCTCTGAAATCCTGCCCCTGTTAGAATCCCTTGAAGGAACCCCAACAAGAAAAAACACAACAAAAAACGAGAATCGAGACTAAAACTAAAAAACAACAACAAGGTACAAACAAAAACTGCAGCCCCGTCAACAAGCAGTCGTATTGCAGAAGTCGTAGTCCTAGCGGTAGTAGAGGTAGTAGTGGTGGTGGTGGTGGTGGTAATTCAATGGTAGTACTACTTGCAGTTGTAGGAAGTTATGACGCAGTGGCGCAAGTCATCCCACTAGTATTGCTAGACTACTTACCACTACTTACCATCCTACTTACTAGCGACTTTCTTTCCAGAATATGATTTTGGCTGGAAACTTGCTTTTTCATGCTTTTTCAATTTGTGGGAGTGGGAGAAGCGTTGGCGGAGTCAAGCTTGACCAAAATATTGACGACCTGCTTCAAATGGGGGTGCCCGTTACCTTTCAGTAGGCTTCACTTGCTGCTCTGAAGGATTCACCTTTGGGGGTGACTTTTCTTGGTTGCTTGCTCGAAACATCCTCTGATCCCGAAACGCAGGAACAAAAACATCACAAACAGCTTGAGCTCCTTCGCTCCATCCTCACCATTAGTCATTAGTTAGACTACCTACTACTACTACTACTACTACTACTACTACGACTACTACGACCACCACCACCACCACTACCACTACCATTACCACTACCATTACCACTACCACTACCACTACCACGACTACGACGACTACTACTACTACTACTACTACTACTACTACTACTACTACTACTACTTCGACCACCACCACCACGACCACGACCACGACCACGACGACGACGACTACTACGACCACCACCACCAACAACTTCTACTACAACTACAACTACAACAGCAAAAACTCACGACATCTCCACTGAATGGATATAAATGGATATCAACTGTGCTTTTAATAATTAAGCAGCATACACTGCAATTGTTGGGTGGGTTGATGAAAACATGAACATGCACCAACTCGTTTGGATGTAAACACAGCTACAGCCAAGTCCTGCCTGCTGTCTCTGGCGCATCATTTCCACCCTTTGCCTTCGACACAGGGTTTGGATGGAGCGGTGAGTACACAGTTGAACCAGCCATCAAACAATAAGAACGCGTACTCATGAGTTTCTGGGAGTTACCGCGAGTTAATTGGCAGCGGCTATTGTGCAACAATAGACGTGCATCTTTTCTCGATGCAGCTTTGTTCCCTCAAACCTTTCATTGTTTTCAAAGGCATGCTAAAGCTGAGGTTAGCATTCAACTGGAGTCCTTGGGCCGCAAAAGTATATACGACTTGTACACTTTCAACAAACAAGCGGAATGATGGGAGAAATCTTGGACAGATTCGGTTTCCGTCGAAGAAGGCGGATGGCAACATCAGCCAATACCATGTCACGGTGATGAAACATTGCGCCGTATAGAACAATGAGCATAGAAACCCAAACACAAAGTGAGCAAGTTGAATCTCACATTGACGGACGACTTGACAAACTGCACCTTGATTGATGACCTTCTTGATAAGAAAATGAGAAAACATAAGTCATAAATCATAAGCAGCAAACACAGCGACAATGGGTTGCAGGTACACGCCAATGTCAGCAGTGGACCCAGCAGCGTCATTGCAATCATTGAACAGTCATGGATGCATTGCCTCAATATCCTCAATAAGAAGAGCAGCTCAACGCCAGAAAGACACACTACAAAAACACTATAACAAGCACGACTTTCATCCACACAGTTGTATTTTCTCAGCAGGTTGCTGCAAACTTGAATCAGTCGGGCAGCTTATTCATGGCACCAAGCACCAGCGTGTTGTGCAAAGTGTCATTGCGTGGGCACTTGACCAGCGCTTCGAACTACCATGAACTACCCGAAACCACTAGACGTGGAAGCTAGAAAGATTTGAGGGCATCTTCACACATGCGCAGCATGAGATCAGAACGCCAAATCCTCCCCGGCACTTTCAAAGGAGAACAATTCCTTAATTCCTTAAAACTAGCAAGCACATGGTGCCAGGGCACTTGCCGTGGCATAGCTTCCCGGTATGCTAAGCCGGTATGCTGACCTCAAGTGGCATAGCTCCAGGTCTCCAGGTCTCCAGCACACGGTCAGGAGGTCACTGCTTCCGACGTAGCCGTCCACTTAACCATTCCACGACTGACTGTGTTTGCACTAGAGGCTACATCTACCAAAGCCATCCAAAGCCATGTCTGGGATTTATGCCTTCAATTTGCTTGGTGATTGCAGATCCTGCTATGGACCTTGCTGCGCCCCATTTGGACATGTCACGTTGTACCAGCAGGTGCAGAACGGGTCTGGCCTCCGTCTGGCCTCCGCTGACTCAGCAGGGGCATCGCTGGGCGCGTGGTCTGGCGTCGTGCTTGTTCAAGAAAAAAGAAGAAGGAAACAATTAAAATAGCAATGGCCAACCTACTAGCGATGGCCTCCACCTAATAACGATGGCCTCCACCTAATCATATATGATTTTGGAGGAATCTTTGCATGTCAACCATTTGACCATTTGCAGCCTTAGCCTATAGCAATGAAGATCCTAGAGCATCCTACATAGCCCTTTTATGCCCTTGTCGCCTTCGAATTCTTCGCCCGAAACGCCAGCAACACCCGAAACGCTTCGACCGGAACCGGCAGGTTTCGTCCCACACCTTGGAAACCCATCGATTGCCAGCGGTCCCGCCTCAGTGCGCACAGGACACGACTTTACAGACGGAACCGCTAGTGATAGCTCATCGGATACGAGCAATCTGCACATTTCTCCGAATAGCTTCTGGATTGCCTAGGTTGACTTCAAAAGAAAGGCATGTATGGAAAAAAGTGCATCATGCATGCAAGACTTGGTGGTGCCAACATTGGCATTGTCACACCCTCTCAACCTAAAGCCCAAAGTGTCTCTTTCATTTCAAGACGCTGCATTGTGGGAGTCAAAGAACGCAAGGACAAGGTCCCGTAACAGGAACTTCAGGCCACACCGGGCCACACCCCTATAATCCCCTATACTGTCACATCCAAAAGCTACAGCTGGTAGATTTTAAATCATGCCCCTCTGAACAGCGGGCTTGAAACTTGGCCTCCTTGCAAACGCTCCGGTAGCATCTTGGCATTACACACCCGAGACAGGATGGGATTTTGCAGCTGCGCCTGCGCAGGCGAATCTGGGGGACTCAGTGTCTCATCCTTTGGCACCCAACCGACATTTAGGTTCATCCATACGTTTGGCCGCGCCAAGAGTCAGCGACAACCCAAATGTTCAGGAGTGCGGAACTGCAAACATTATCCACTGTAAATAGGACATCGTGACAACAAATGCGTTTCCAAGAACGCCAAGGATTCTCCAAGCAATCTTGGGAAGTTGTCGACATTGAAGGAACCCCACCGCCACCACCCTGAAGCCCTATATGGCTATATGGGTTTCATTGCTGGTTCCACCATCGCGAAAACATGCAGTTGCCCCGCTTGTTCAATCCGAAGTCAACTGTTTTACACTTGCAGGGACCACAAGACCTCTGATCCACCTTTTGCTGTTCAAAGAACATCGTGCAAAAACAGCGTAGGGTGGGCGGCGAACGGTCCTCGCTCAATGTCTCGAGGCCCTTCAGGATCGCCTGCGGAGCGCGGCGTACACGAGCTGCACGCGGGGGATGGAGTCTGAGCAGTCTGCGGATGAACAATGACTTCGATGAACAACAACCCTCTGAATCAGGTTCCAATGTCTTGTCTTCTCACCCTATACACACTGCCTTCTTTCTCGTGCAGCAGCAGCAGCAGCAGAGTGGAGAGGCAAGTGCTGGTCATGGTAGTGTTGGTGGTTGAGGCCACGGCAGTTGAATTTGCAGTCAGGGGCAATAACTATAAGGGTGAACTTTTGAATTCGGGAGTTATGTTCGTTTCTTTTCGGGAGTTGTTTCAAATCCTTGGGGCTCACAGTTCGCTGCTATTTACGGCAACCTGGTGTCCTTTGAAAGGAAACGCACTGCGGCATCAAGGTGGAGTGAGTGGCTGAGTTTGAAAGAGAAACATTTTCAGCAGCGCGGCTGACACTTAACAGAAACAGCCGTCGTAGCAAGCAAAGTACATTGGCGGAAGAAGTAGTGCAGATCTCGCAATGGCGTCCGGCGCAGTGACCTTAAAAAATGCTGTTTTCGTGGCGCTGGAGCGGGGTTGGGGGAAGGGCGTGCGCTTGGATGTCATGGCTTTTGTTTCTCTCAATATTTGTGACCTACTTGACTACAAAGAGGCCATGTCCAACACATCACTTGCGCGCGCAAAAGTGAACTCACTAGCCCACGCATGAACCTTTTGCCTTGCGCACGAGGCATGATGTTGCTACAATGGAATGGCACCTTCCTCTTCTGAATGTTACCCGCGGGCCCGCGGGTGGCTGACAAAACGTCTGCTGTGTTGGAATGGCACCTTCCTCCTCTAAGTTTTACCCTTGTGTGGCTCACAAAAGGTCTGCTCTCTTGGAATGGCCTTCCTCTACGTTTTACCTAAGGTGGCTCACAAAAAGTCTGCTATGTTGGAATGGCACCTTCCTCCTCTAATCTTTTTGCCGGCTGCCTCGCAGCAGGTTTGCTACCTTGGAATGGCCCCATCCTCCTCTAAATGTCACCGTCCGGTGGCTCACAAATGGGCAGCTGTGTTGGAATGGCTCCTACCTCCTCTAAATTTTACCATCAGGTGGCTCACAAAAGGTCTGCTACCTTGGAATGACCCCTTCCTTCCTCCTCGAAGCTTTAACCTCGGGTGGCTAGCAAAAGGTCTGCTACCCTGGAATGGCTCCTCGCTCTGACCTAAATGTTGGCTTTAATGCGTCTTGTAAGCACCACATGTAAGCAGTGCTGTACTTCAACGTCTTTTTCCCACAAACACCGCGAAACAACGATGACACACATATGCGCAAAGCGTATTGAAGCTTCTCTGTCTAATGTGTTTGTGTAGCTAAAGATGAAACACGAGTGTGTGCAAGTTGCGCAGTAATGCAGACCGAACAGCAACAAGCACAGCTCAGAAGAGCAAACAGCAACAAAAATCAACAGAAGCAACAAGAGCACAGCAAAGCAACCAAAGCCAAAAAAAACGAGCCGAGTAAAAAAAGAAAAAGCAAAACAATGTAAATACAAAAAGCTAAAGAAAAACAAAGCAAACAAGCAGCAAAAGAAAAAAAACAGCAAAAGCAAAAGTAATACAAAAAACAGCAACAGCAGCAAAAATAATAAAAACAGCAAAAGCAAAAAACATCAGCAACAAACACACAAGCAATGTTCAAAAAAGCAGCAAAAGCAGAGAAGCAGCAAAAAGAGAACAGCTGCCAAAGCAAAGAAGCAGCAAAAGCAAAATCTGCTGACAAAAAAAACGAAACAACTGAAAAAGAATAAACACGACTAAAAGATGCCCCTCCATATACTAATAAAGGTAGTAACTAGTAAGTGGTACCAGTGGTGCTATCTGAAACATAGCAGTAGCCAGAGGCAGCCCTAGCAGCACCAGTTGGTCTTGTCGCACACTCGGCGCAGCTATGCACAGCCTGTGCAATGAGGCGGGCCTTGTGTCGCGGCAACGGCAAGTCCTCATGGCCTGGACGTGATGCGGCGGAGCGATGTGTCCGGTGTCATACACCCGAATCCAGCTGAATTGGACTATCTATGATTGTGCTTGCAAGACTGTGATCTTGTTTCTGCAAGCTCTTTGCAAGTCCCATCTCCACATTGCACTATATAAACTGAAAGAAATCTGCCCACCCAGTCATCTTTGAGTTTCCAGTCGGCATCCGCCAAGAATGTCTGAAAATAAACTCCCGAAACTACCATGGATGGAACAAATTACCACAAGGATTAGCGTGGAGGCCATGGCTATTAGGGTAGAGGCCATCCCTAGTAGGTTGGCCATCGCTATTAGGGTGGAGGCCATCGCTAATAGGGTGGAGGCCATCGATAGGCAATGGCCAGTAGGGTGGAGGCCATCGCTATTAGGGTGGAGGCCATCGCTAGTAGGGTGGAGGCCATCCCTCTTAGGTTGGAGGCCATTCCTATTAGGTTGCAGGACAGCGCTAGTAGGTTGGAGGCCATCGCTAGTAGGGTGGAGGCCATCGCTCTTTGGTTGGAGGCCATTCCTATTAGGTTGGAGGCCATCACTAGTAGGTTGGAGGCCATCGCTAGTAGGTTGGAGGCCATTCCTATTCGGTTGGAGGCCATCGCTAGTAGGTTGCAGGCCATTGCTAGTAGGGTGGAGGCCATCGCTATTAGGTTGGAGGCCATTCCTATTGTTGGAGGCCATCGCTAGTAGGTTGCAGGCGACCGCTACTAGGTTGGAGGCCATTCCTATTAGGTTGGAGGCCATCGCTATTAGGTTGGAGGCCATTCCTACAACATACTAGCGATGGCCATCGCTATTAGGTTATAGGCCATTCCTATTAAGTTGGAGGCCATCGCTAGTAGGTTGCAGGCCATCGCTAGTAGGTTGGAAGCCATTGCTATTAGGTGGGAGGCCATGGCTAGTAGGTTGCAGGCCATTGCTAGCAGGTTGGAGGCCATTCCTATTAGGTTAGAGGCCATCGCTAGTAGGTTGCAGGCCATCGCTAGTAGGTTGGAGGCCATTGCTGTTAGGTTGGAGGCCATCGCTAGTAGGTTGCAGGCCATCGCTAGTAGGTTAGAGGCCATTGCCATTAGGTTGGAGGCCATCGCGAGTATGTTGCAGGCCATCGCTAGTAGGTTGGAGGCCATTCCGATTAGGTTGGAGGCCATCGCTAGTAGGTTGCAGGCCATCGCTAGTAGGTTTAAGGCCATTCCTATTAGGTTGGAGGCCATCGCTAGTAGGTTGCAGGCCATCGCTAGTAGGTTGCAGGCCATCGCTAGTAGGTTGGAGGCCATTCTTATTAGGTTGGAGGCCATCGCTAGTAGGTTGCAGGCCATCGCTAGTAGGTTGGAGGCCATTCCTATTAGGTTGGAGGCCATCGCTAGTAGGTTGCAGGCCATCGCTAGTAGGTTGGAGGCCATTCTTATTAGGTTGGAGGCCATCGCTAGTAGGTTGCAGGCCATCGCTAGTAGGTTGGAGGCCATTCCTATTAGGTTGGAGGCCGTCGCTAGTAGGTTGCAGGCCATCGCTAGTAGGTTGGAGGCCATTCCTATTAGGTTGGAGGCCATCGCTAGTAGGTTGCAGGCCATCGCTAGTAGGTTGGAGGCCATTCCTATTAGGTTGGAGGCCGTCGCTAATAGGTTGCAGGCCATCGCTAGTAGGTTGGAGGCCATTGCTGTTAGGTTGGAGGCCATCGCTAGTAGGTTGCAGGCCATCGCTAGTAGGTTGGAGGCCATTC